TACTTATTTTTTGCCGGGTCTTTGTACGTGTGAAAACTTCTCTGCGTGCTAAGTAAGTACTTCACGAGGTTTCTGAAGTCTGTCACAGATTTAGCACTGATTTTTACTTTCTGATTTCTGAAGTCTGCTATGAAATTTGTTAACACATTTGATTTTGGTTCTTTAATGAAATTATTTATATTAGGAATGTTGGCTACGAAAATGGTAGGAATTTTATATGTATTGTTAGTTTGTTCACTGCTGATTTCATTTAGATAGGTGAATCTGTTATTTTTGAGGCTGAGGTTAACTTCACTTAAAGAACCAAATCTGCTGCCGATTGGTACCTTGTAATGTAAATTGGTTGGATCTGACTTTTCACTGTCACATACAGAACCCGCACTTTTTTGCGCATCTTGCGTATTTTCGGAATCACTCACTGACCTTTTTCGATGATCGCCGTTCGTTGCTATTGGAATGGTCGTGTCCTCTAGGGTTGATAGGTTGGAGGCCACTCCATTACCGGAGTCGCTGGTTCATGGCTGCCTGTAGTTGGATGTCCATTTCTTGTTCGGTAGAAGAGGAATACTGTCATTTCACTATTATCTGAGTAGTTGATGTCATTGTTGACTAGGTGCAGGGCTTGACTATTGCTAGCCCTGTTGCTGAGAGTATGCCATTAGACATAAATATGAATGTCACTTAGTTGACTATTGACTCACATAAACTTAAACAAGGTTTACTAAACCGAGTTAAACGAGGTGAACGGAGCTCCGCTGAGACGAACCTCACAGCTCGGGCGCTCGCAGCAGAATGTGCTAAAACTGTACGCAGTGCAGTTCACAATGCGTGGCCGTGTCGCAAAAGCATCTAATAAACCCATTGGTTAAAGCATGGCCCGCTAGGCATATTAGCGTGCTACGGTTAGAGAAAGAAAAAATCGTAGTTTGAAATGACCAAAGAATATAGCAGTAAACCTCCTAAATTCTGTCTAAATTCATTATTACTTTCTCGCCTACTACTTACGCAAATAGAGTAGGTATTGTAAAGCTGTGAGCAAAAACAGCGAATATTCGACAGAAACACTGTTATTGCCGGGCCCTGGTAATGAGAAAGTGGATAAATTATGCCTTAGTTTATTATAAATTACTTCCTCTAACACGTTGTGTAGTCACAAACCATGTTTCGTGGGTCCTCGATATCTTAAAATAGAACGACGGCAAAACATTTGCCTTCTGAGTTTCTCTTGCTTCCATAAGTTTGAACTTTTTCATCTAATGTCGGAGTTTTATGATTTTTACATTGTAAACTGGTAGTGAAACTCATAAAAATACACACCAACTTACTGCCCAACAAAGAGTAGCGTCACTGCCTAATGGCTGCAATCGGACTGCTTGCTGACTGTTTCAACGCACAATACGTCACAGCCCAGATTACTGTGTTTTCTTATACCCTCGCATGACTGGTCTCTGGACCTGGTGTTACAATTTTCAACGAATACAAGCCATGCCCGTACACATTCCCACCACGCGCAGAGAGTTGGGAAGGAGCGAATTCTGTTACGACCTACGCCTTGAGAGTCAAGTGACGGCAAGGTTGAATTCTACGTTGTCATCCTTCCTTCACAGTGCGGATGCCACGATTAAATCGCATGGGAAAGAGAATATAACATCGCAAATGCAGTCAGTTCATTAAGAATATCTCACGTTTCTGCCAACTGCATTAAATACACAGGAATTCCGTGTTATAAGATTTATTTTTCCCTGAAGGATATAAAAACCCGATCCGCTTCAGCAGTTAGTCGGGTTCTGTTTTATGCTGTGTAAAATCCATATAACTTCACGGGCCAAATACATTATCCGGTTAAGGCAGGTTTCCGACTTGTACAGGTTCCAATTTACATCGATTTTACAGTACTATAACCAGCTATTAAAACTTTTTAAAGTATAGAAGTGGGTTTGATGGTTCTATAAAATGTATTACCTTCCTTCAATCTTTTTCCTTTCATAAAAATATTATCTACAACATACAATCTTACATAAATCAATTATCTCTTAAACTTTTCGACTATCCATCATCAAAATTTAATCAAAATCGATGGAGACATTTTTTTTTTAATTTTGATTTTTTTGAGCCTCATGTAAAGTACACACTAAATTTAAAATATCAGTTTCAAATTCAATGGGCCGCGACTTCAGCCAGATCGATTGGGAAATATCAATTTCAGATCAAACAGGCTGAACGGTTTAGCCGCTAGCGTTGTTCACAGACGGACAAACGGACGGACATATGTTTTGTCGTCATTCCATTTTTCGGTATCAAGAACCCACAAAACATGAATTGTGGCTACACTGCATGATAGACAATTTTCCCCTTAATTTAGCAACTTCTTTTTTAACCAGGGCCCGGCAATAAGAGTTTGTCTAAAATTCGCTATTTTTCCCGCCACAATACATTACTTTCTCTTCTTAGGACGAGATAGTGAAATACATTCACTTCGAGAAATTGATCTTACACAGAACAAAGACATTTTAAAATCATTACAGACAGGATAGAACCTTCAACGAAGAATGATTTAGACTTACTAAAAGAAAATCAACACTTATGCACTATTTTAACATTTAACTTGTAGCATCCAACATTTGATATTTACAACACACAGAGACGATAGTGCTGCCCTCACAAGCTTTCTAACTCACGTGTGTTGAACATCTCTGTGCAAGCAATTCAGTTTGAGGACAGAGATTTTGGATTCTTGGAATGAAAAATTTGATTAAAATTTGCTTGTAAAAATATTATTTATTGTTATTGTCATTTGATCTTGGAAGATCGGCACACACAGGAGTTGGAGCTTCCAGGTGGCATCAACAAATGTACTTCTAATTTAATTAAGAACAGAGTTTAAATTTATTTCATGAATAAATAATTTAATATTTACATTAATTTTCGTTACAATCATCAAAGTCGCCTTAAAATGAGTTCAATCCCATATTTTGGTTGTAATAAAAATGTCTTCGGATTAAATATAATTTCTTCAGGAGTGCTACTGCAGGGATGAACTGAATACTTGGAAAGTAAATGCGCTACTGCAGATTTTGTTTGCATATGCGCAAATCGCATTCCTGAAATTAGAGAAAAAAATATTTTCAATTCAATGCAGTAAACAGTTGTTCAGTTAATGGACAAATTTCTTTAATTTAAACGTTTCATAAGAATAAATTTCATGAAATGAAATTGCTTCTCAACCTTGTCGAGAACTGAAACAAATCAGTTTATGACGGAATTCACTACTGCAGTGGATTCTGATTTACGAACTTTCAAAATTACTTGGATGTTCAGTAATTTCCTCGAATTTTCAAAACTCACAATTTGAAGACCTACATTTCCTGAAGAATTACATTTTTCTACAATGAAGACTTTATATTAAATGTAATTTGATATAAAATAATTTTATTTAAAATTGTAAAATTCATTGAATATTTACGTACATTTTTGTGAGTGTTTTTAAAAAATAGATAATTTCACCTAACTTTTTAATTAATTTTGTAGGTTATTTTCAAATATTTTTTAGGTCATCAGAATCGATTATGAGGAACACGTTTGTGTTTTCCTTACCACTCGAAATTATTCAACCTGTATCGTAAGTACGGTAAATACTAATCAGATAACGAGATCCACTGGGTAGATTTTTTTCATCAAGGATCATTTGAAAACTAAGAATTTATCGTTCCCGTAATGTTTGTTATTTATACCCCCAAAATAGTTATTTACAAATAAAAAATGTACGAAAATCACTACGTTGCTCCAAAACTGCGTTGCCAAACCTTCATAGAATTGTAGAAACAGTGATCTCTTTGACCCCACCAAGAACTATGACGTATGAATGATATTGATATTGCATTTCCATTCTGACAGAGAATGAACAAAACATTGAAAATGAAGGACATTTTTATTTCAATATTCTATGATATAAGAAATATACTGATCTCCGTATAGACTGATCCGATGTGTTATTCTCAAGCAAACTACTTGCTTCTACAATTTTTATAAGCTTGAGAAAAAACAAAACTGTTTTTTCGTAAATACGGTTATTTCTCCATTTATGCATATGTTACGGCTAATGTGCGAATCTGGCCAAATCGCAAATTAGAATGTGATTATTTACCTTATGCAAAATTGGTGGAAAAAGAAATCCCTGCTCCCTTCCAATGAGATTACCCAGGCAATAAGTTGCTTCTCCTTAGACAATATCTCCAGTTAATTACCATTTATTGTTGGATTCATCACGAAGGGCACTTCAGGTTTAGTAAAGGGCCGCATTTCCGGTGATGTGCGATCGTATTTCTTTCGCTTACATCTAGCATCCGGCGTCAACCATCTCTCTCGGAGAAAGTCGGCCAAGAAGATGACACAAATGAGGAATGGAGAGCAGCCCAATGCTCTCCAGGTATCTCCCACTGCGGGACATCCCCCGAGCGGACCCCACCCGAACCAGGACAAGCTCTAAGCTTGCATCTTGACACTCCCGACCTGCGGGAAAGTGTTCTGCAGGTGTGCGTGAATGTACGAGGACGGGATAGAACAAGGAAGAGGAAAGTATGGTCTCGCGAGGTCCATGGCCCATTTTTAGGGTACTATCCCAGTATTTGTCTGGTATTAATAGGAGACACTACGGAAAACTACTGATCAGAGTATCCGGCAGCTACAACTATCCTCCACACAGCGTCTGAATCGACCTAGTCATTCTGTAAGTGTCCGTCCGCCGGCGTGGGGATTCGAACCCTTGGACTCCCTGGTGAGAGTGGCTGCAGGTACAGTGACAATGTTGAATCTGTGCTAAACATAGCAGGTAGGCATCGACATGGAAGTGTTCTGAGGAAACACCGTGATCAGAGCACTCGCTCACTAGAACTCGCATCCAGCCAGTGCTGGTGCCGAAACCCGCAACTGCGATATCTTGAGCTAACGATCTCCCTCAACGTTCTAATGTAAAAAGGTTCAGATAAAGGTGAATAACTCACCTATACAGTTCCGTGGCCCTTCGCTAAAAGGCATGAAACTGTAATTTGGAATGTTCCTCTTGTTTTCTTCAGAGAATCTGTCCGGATCAAAAATTTTAGGATTACGGTGAAAGTCTGGGTCCATATGGAATCCATACATGGGCAAGATAATTCGAGATCCTTTCTCCAAAGTCACATTAGTTCCAGGCAAAGTGTACTTGGAAGTCGACGTTCGACTTATAAAAGGCAATGGCGGGTATTTCCTCAATGTCTCTGAAAATTAAAAGAAAAATCAAAGTAATTCCTGTAATTTAATATAAAATTGCTTAAACAATTATTTCATGTTGCAATAATTTAGTTCCACTGTTCATAGAATTAAAGTTGGAGACTAAGCAGTGCTACTATTCAGTATTACGGTATCATGTATTTCCTCTGTACCTGATACAAGAACCTCGTCTTCTCAATATATACATTACTAATTTCCAATGTAAGCAGAAAGAAAATTATGCAACCTCTGATCATCTAAGAGAAATCCATAAATACAGATACAGAAATACAGAAATTTGATAAAAATAAAAAAAATCTGTAATATGACGTAAGTTTAATTTTAGTTGAGCATTTGAATTTACGAAAATTGCAAAATTATAAATAACGCGGAAAAGTGTACGTGCACTAATTTATATTTCTGGTATGTAAAGAATTGTTCCTCATTTTTGTTAAAATTAGGCATTCGGAGAATTTTTCCTCGAGAATAAAAATGTTCGGATTTTTTTTTAAAATCACAAGAAATTACACATTATATTGGTAACTCCACATTAATTCCGTTAACTGAATACATTGGTACCTGTTTGTTTTCTCTGATTTTTTGTAATTATTTAAATATCGATGGCGAATAATAATCTTTTTTATAGAAAAATCAACAGATATTGCTATACAATATGTTGTTGAAAATGTAAATATATCGTTCTTGTTAGTTTTATAATTTTTATAGTGATGGTTAAGCAGTGTGTGTTCTTGTATTGTTAACGTTAAAAAGAATTGTGTTGTACTCGTGATTCTTTTAAATGTGAGGGTGAATTGTTTCTGTGAAGCAGAAAAATGATAAAACTTAAGTTAAAGTTATTTCTTAAATTTAAATTAACTAAAGTAAAAATTATTTTTTTTAATTTTATTGTTATTAACAGGGCTCTTGGTTTCGAACTTCGCTCTCATTTGACGATGGAAAATATTGCAACCCAGCAAATTTTGTTCCTCAACTTTATCATTGCGATTTTAACATTTATTTGCCAAAAATACTGAATTTTGATAACATTTAACAAAACTAATAATCCTTGAAGAAATTCATGTAAATACTGATTTAAGAATGTAGATGCAAAAATAAACAGCGAACCTTGCGTGATTTATTATTCTGGAAGTGTCAAAAGTTTTCACCCACCTAATTCTAAATAAATTACCTTTTTTTGCACACAAGGGGTGTAAAATACTCTATCTTACTAACATAAATAACTAGAACAAATGAGTAAAGTTTGTTTTTAATAAAGCCCAAGTAGAATGTAAATACAGAAAAAAATTGCGTTTCAATGGAAGAGAACCGAAAGTCATTTGTTTGAAAATCACGTCTGGTAGCACAAACTTCTCACATTTTAAAGATTGGAACTAATTAAATGTACAAAGGTATTAATGGTGATCAATAACAATAAGTAATTTATATTGGAGATATCCTTGCTTCAAACTAAAAATAAGTATTTTTCAGTGTCTTTTTTCTTAAAACAACCCATTCTACTTCAATTTGCAATTGCCTTTGATAGAAGAATACCTTGCATGACCATGTCGAGGTACTTCAAGCCGTGAAGAGTTTCGTAAGAAATGGAACCATCAATTATTGCTTCTTGGATTTCCTTGCGCAGCTTGTCCTGTACTGCATCGTTCCTGGCCAATTCAAAGAGCATGTAGTTCAGCGTGGAGGCAGTAGTCTCAAAACCAGCCATCAAGAATGCAAACGAATGGGCACACACATCTTCCTCCTCGAGAACTAGAAAAAATAGAGGCATAAGACGGTATTTTGACAACAAAGAGCCCAAATTGAAAGACCAGACTGAAGAAATTAGGATACAAAGTAGTACGAGAAAGTCTGTGCCCTTCTGTAGTACCACTTGTTTATTATTTAAAGTAAGGAGGAGTGGATGCACAGAGTGGTTGCCAGTGGAGGAGCTCAGAAGGCATATATTATTTATATTACGAGAAGGAAAGCTTATGAGATTATGTTTCGAGATGCTAAAGATGTACTAAACTGTAAGAAGGTATAATGTGATGGTATGATATGGTAATGAAATGTAAGTTTTTAAAGACCTTACTCAAGATAATCAAATTTAGGAAATAGTGAGCAAATAAGCAGTTTGGAAAACTGACCCAGTTTGTTCGCCATCTGCTCTCCTTGGTCCTCGGCATCCTCGATGCTCCCGGCCTGCTTGAGCTGAATGAGGCTGTCGAGCAGGTCGTTGCGCTTCGCCTGGTCCTTCTCGCGCTGCCGAATGGTGGTGATGATGGTGCCTCTGACGAAGTCCTCCACCTCCTGCTTCATCACCTTCAGCCCGAGCAGGTCGATGAGCGCGGGCGCGAACCACGCCGTGGCCATCACGAGCGCGCGCCGCGGCGAGAACTCGAAGTGCTGCAGGAGCGTGCGCCGGAAGGCGGCGTCCGGGTCGGCGAGCGTGTTGCCCTGGATGCCGAAGGCGCACGACGCGATCGAGTCCATGGTGTAGCGCGACGTCAGCTCGTACGCGACCACGGGCTTGTCTGGAAGAGAACGTGTCGGGCCGTGTTTACGCGAGTCTATTCGACGAGTGCGCGCGCTATTCGACGAGCACCGAACATTCGGTATTCGCCCAACCCACCGCGTGTCGAACTTTAGGACACATCAAAGGGAGCAAACATTCGCCGAACACATCAGCCGTTCGGGATGCAGCATTCGGCGAATCCCGAGCAACCGCTCGCCGAATCCCGAGTAGTGAGGCCGGGTTGCACGCTATTCGCCGACAGCCGAACATTCGGTATTCGCCCTACCTACCGCGTGTCGGTCTTGTGAACACATCAAAGGCAGAGAACAGTCGCCGAACACATCACCTGTTCGGGATTGGGCGAGCAGTAGCTTGCTGCTCGGCGAATGCCGAATGTGTGGAGCCGTCTTAATGCGCCATCGAATCTATTGCGCTCCCCATATTTGAAACTTAAGCGGCTCCACACATGCGGCATCCGGCGAGGAGCGAGCAGCCGCTCGCCGAATCCCAAGTAGTGTGGACGGGTTGCGCGCTATTCGACGAGCACCGAACATTCGGTATTCGCCCTACCCACCGCGTGTCGGTCTTTACGAGATCTCAAAGGAAACAAACATTCGCCGAACACATCAGCTTTTCGGGATTGGGCGAGCAGTAGCTCGCTGCTCAGCGAATGCCGAATGTGTGGAGCCGTCTTAATGCGCCATCGAATCTAATGCGCACCCCATATTTGAAACTCAAAATTATGAAAAAGTGTTTGTATCGAATGTAATGCGCATTAAACCTGCCTGGCGTACGCGTATGGGCGTGCTCTATAAGCTGTAGATAGTTTAAACTTTCTCTTAAAATGTTTTTTCCACATCATTTTAAAAGGTGTCACCATTCTCATTTCAAAATTTTTTAGATATTTTTGCAAATTTTTTTTATGATACAATGGTGTAATGAACAATTAAAAAACAATTCAGATAGATAACGGTTAATGACAGATAATAGGTATGGCATTTTTATTTAAATTTATGCAATACAATACATCTAAAACGATCTTCTCTGATTGCTCTCCATATCGCCTAACTATAAACCCTCAATAACAGACCAATGATAAATGAAACTAAGTCGTATTTACAAACTTTAGAAATTGATGTAACATAATAAACGAAAAAAAAATAAATTAATGAACATACCGGCGAATGAACAATACGAAACGCGTTGTGTGCTCGAATCTAAGCATTATGAAATGTAATGCGCATCAAGATTTTTGAGTAACGCATTTGTGCAAAAAAGGTGTGCACTAGATTCATGAATAAAAATTCTTTCGTATATCAAGATATTGTCTGTTTTAAGCTAGGTTACCGTTTGAAGTAGCTTAGGACATCAACTGATGACACTGCAGTGAACTCATTGCTATGAATTCCGATTGAATATGATTTCAAGAAGTTTGCATTCTACATTTTTCTTTAAAAAAATTATGCGAGGTTTTAAACGAAAACAAAGAAGCTTTCTTTGTAGCTCGGAATATCTGTGTACAAAATTATTTCCCAATAATTTTTTTTACTTCATTCGTATGCATAAAACAATGTGAACACAAAATTGAGGGCACTGCTAAATTCTCCATGAGAAATGAGGTTAACCATCGAAAAATTTGGACATATTTCAATATTTTTCTTCTATTTCTATTGATTAGCAATTTCAAGCACGAATCGGTAAAATATGAAATGTTTTGCGAGTATTATCAAAATCCGTGTCAGCCTGGATTTCATTCGAAGACCATTCTGAAATAACTGCATCTTTTGGACACACGAAAAGAATCGTTAATGTAATGCATCTCAGAGCCATGATGTCGGGGTGTTCCAAGCGGTCCCCTAGAATGTGACATTTTAGGCCCACCTACAGGCGGTTTCCTTCCCCTTCCCCTATCTTCTCCACTGGGACACCGCAACAACCGGGTTAAGTTCTTAACTACCATCTGGCCTCCCGAGTGATAATGATTTGCCTTTAATTAACTGTGTGTGCGGGAGAAGAGAGAACCATGATGGAGGTGAAAAGATCGCGTGCAGTTCTTGGGAAATTTGTTTGGATACTGCGTCATCATACATCGGATATTTGATCGGAGAATCCACGAAAAACTAGCAATCAAAGCAGCCGGTCACTAGAATTCTCCTCCCGGTAGTGGCTGACTACTACGTGTCTTTATAGCTTGTATCGAAAATCCGCCGCTGTTGAGAGTCGAACCGTAGAACCTCCCAATCAGAAAAGCTGCAGCGGCAAAAAGTGGTTTCCCGGAGCTATCCCTGGCGGTTAAAGTTGAGTTGAATTGAATTAATGCAGTATTTTACGTGGCGAGACCCGGGCCATCAGGCCCGCTCTTCCGTCTGACCACGCAAATTTCGGTACGCTCCTTTCACCAACTAGCAGAGAAAGGAGGTATTTCTTGGGCGAGAAACTGGCGATTTGAATTTAGCTCAGAGGCGTCATTTAGGCTTGAGGATCTTTTACATGCAAGCAAATCTACTAACATGGGACAGCCGACTTTACTTCCCCTCCGAAGGAAGGCGTACGAAGGATTTTTTCCTCAAAAAATCCACGGCTTCGATCAGGTTTGAACCCGCCAACTTGGGTCCGGTACGCTAACCGTTTCACCATCGCCGCCGCGCGAAAGTTTAGAGCGTGTTTCTCCTGGGAAGACTCACCCGCGTATCCCTCGTTGCTGATGGTGTCGAGCAGCAGCTGGCCGCACTGGGTGACCAGCTGGTACATGCGCTTCATCTTGCCGGAGGTGAAGCTGGGCGTGAGGGCGGCGCGGGAGCGCTTCCAGCGGTCGCCGGTGAGGGCGAAGAGGCTGCGCACCGGCAGCGGGTCGACGCGCGCGTTGGCGCTGCAGCTGCGGTCGGTGAACGCGTGGAAGTCCTTGACGAGCACGGCGCGCGCCAGCGCCAGGTCGTGGATCTGCAGCACGGGCTGGTCGAAGGCGAACAGCCCCACGAAGGGCTCGCGCTTGCGGCGCTCGTACACCTCCTTGGCCAGCAGCCCCATCGACGTGCGCATCAGCACCACGTCCTGGAAGCAGAGGGGGCGGGGCCGGGCCGGGGATTGCACAATTGACCACTCCACGACGCCTCTCAGCAGCGCTTCCGAGTGGCGCGACTGCTGGCAACGCATTGGTTTAAATGGAGGTATTCACACTTGCTTCACCAGTAGCGTAGATCGCCACCACCAACAGAACACGATTCTTCATGGGAGTCTTCGCACTAGGCTTCTCAAAGGCAACAATGAACTTGAGTACTTAAAATATTTACTGCCTTGCGACCGCCAGCGCCCACAGATCCTTCCCCGTGCTTAGAGGTGCTGGACAGTGTCTCTGTGTGGAGAGGCCCGACGCTTCTCGGGGACACTGACTGGCTTTATGTGAAAGCGGTCTTAAGCGATTGTGGGTTTTTCGCCTTCGGTTTAAGGCCACATTCACACGAAGTCTCTCGGCAGCGCTATGGACAAGCGTCGGCAGTCTTCACACACACACACACACACACACACAGTCATAGACCACCGCCACTGAGCGTGGACAAGGAAGGATTAGCGAGTCGCACCGCTATGAGCTCAGGCAGTCAACAAGAATACAGCTAAACTTTGTGGTAACTTGCGCTTCCGTGTAGCCAGTGTGAAGGCTGCCATTTAGAAGAGTGTTCTACTGGCTGCTAGTGGTGACAGTGTGGCTCCACTCCACAACAGCGCCACTGCGACGCTCGTATGAATACCTCCTATTAAACCAATGTTTTGCCAGTAGCGACATTCGGAAGTGCTGCTGAGAGGCTCTGTGTAAAGGCAATTGTAGTATCTCAAAACAACATATTCCAATAATCGGCATTCAGTGTTTTAAAATCATTCTCAATAAAAAATGTTTGTTGCATTGTAATGGGGCAATAGAAATATGTTTTACTTACTAGTAAGAAATAAAAATCCAAATCGTTGACTACAACCTCTTTATGAGCAATGTGGATATTATAAATATACCGCAATATCTGCCTACATAAAACTTATGTAAGAAATGATAAAATTCTAACAACACTGATAAAATATTTTTTTTAGATTAGTTGAGATACAAAAGATAGAAAAGATTATTTCATTCAAGCTGCAATTAATTAATTAATTAATTAATTAAAAAATCAATATCCTGTAATGGGCACCTTGAATTAGTTGTATAAATAAATTAATACTTAAATAAATCACACACGATGTTTACACTTTTGTGTATTTTAGAATATAACCGTATTTCTATTATCGCATGTTGGCAGATACATGACTAAACAATAAAAGTAAAATACAACTAATAGAACATAGAAGATCTCATTGCAATGCTTTTGTTTCTTAACGCAGGTATTCTAATTGAAGCACATTCCAAAACACGAAACCCACCTAACAAATATTAATTTCTTTAATTCATTTCTTCTCTCCAGCTTAGTTTTACCCAGTATTTCGATTTTTCTTCTACCGGCCTCGTAACAAGCGGCAAAAAAAAAAAACCTTTTGAAGGCGAAGAGGTAAGCGCAGCAAAAGGGCGGCGCGTCGGTACCTTGAAGTTGCCCACGAAGGGCAGCGGGCGCTCGTGCGGGACGCCCTTAGCCGCCCAGTGGCGGAAGTGGCGCGTGAAGTAGAGGTAGGCGGCCGCCAGCGCCGCGCACAGCAGCGCCGCCGCGTACGCCAGCGCCCCCGCCGCCGCCAGCCCCATCGCGCACGCCGCCTGCAACGCACCCACAGGCAGGTGGAGAGAGAGAGAGAGAAAGACAGAGAGAGAGAAAGAGAGAGAGAAAGAGAGAGGAAGAGAGACAGAAAGAGAGAAAGAGAGAAATAGAGAGAGAAAGAGAGTCAAAGAGAGAAAGAGAGAGAGACAGAAAGAGAGAGACAGAAAGAGAGAGACAGAAAGAGAGAGGCAGAAAGAGAGAGAGAGAGAAAGAGAGAGAGAGAGAAAGAGAGAGAGAGAGAAAGAGAGAGAGAGATTACTGTAAACGCGGCTCCACACATGCGGCTTTCGCCGAGCTGTGAGCTACCGCTCACCCGATGCCGAACAGGTGATGTGTTCGGCGAATGTTCACTCCCTTTGATGTGTTCAAAACGCGGCTCCACACATTCGGCATTCGCCCAGCAGCGAACTACTGCTGGCCGAATCCCGAACAGCTGATGTGTTCGGCGAATGTTTGCTCACTTTGATGTGTTCAAAAGACCGACACGCGGTGGGTAAGGCGAATGTTTGGCGCTCGGCAAATCGCAAGCAACCCGCCCACACTACTTGGGATTCGGCGAGCGGTTGTTCGCTCCTTGCCGGATGCCGCATGTGTGGAGCCGCTTGTTTCAAATATGGGGTGCGCAATAGATGCGATGGCGCATAAAGGCGGCTCCACACGTTTGGCATTGGCCGAGCAGAGAATTACTGCTCGCCCAATTCAAAGCAACTGATGTGTTCGGCGAATGATCGCTCACTTTGGTGTGTCTTAAAGACCGACACGTGATGAGTAAGGCGAATACCAAATAGCGAGCCCGTCCACACTACTCGGGATTCGGCGAGCGGTTGTTCGGGATTCGCCGAATGCCGCATGTGCGGAGCCGCGATAAGGGACCGCTCTGACAGCTACTACTTGGCCACCGTTGCCAACATAACTGCAGGTTATGTCCATACTCTCATTTTGTCAGTGCGTTCGTTTACAGTTAGCTCAATTATAAAGAGGGTTCATCACTATCTCTTGCATTGTCATCGCCTTGCATGACGTTCACTTGTTTCTATAGCTGTGAAACTGGTGCCGCTGGTTCCTATAGTAACTACTCTATATTCACAATAAACCTAATATTCACAACAAAAATTCGTGGCAATGCGCGGCATGCCGAAACTTTCTCCCCTCTTAGTGTCACTGGTCACACACTCAACTCATATTCATTTTCTGAAGTGCATGACCTAATTTGAAGATCTAAATATTGCATTGAGAAAGAGGAATACATTGAATTGATGAAATACGTCTGACTTTAATATTAGATTTGCAGGAAAGAATCAAAAATAAATGTGAGCTTTGCTGTTTCAAACTTCCATACGGTTTAATGAAAATCGGATTAATATCGTTTTTATAAATGCACTTTCTTCTATTCCAGGAAGGGATTAAAGAAAAAAATTTCGATTCACTTTCCAAACAAATCATAATGTTCTCCGCCCAAATCCATCTTACTTTCGATATTTTTAACGAGTTTCAGTCCACAAGCTTCTATTCTGAGTTATCTGTGACATACAAATATTGTTCCAAATATACATTACATACATACATACATACACATTAGTAAAACTATATACATACATATAGACACACATACTGAATATCAAAACATATATTTGTATCTCTAAAATAACTGTTAATTAAATGGTGTACGGTATTAACAAGTATTAAAATTAAAATTTGTTAAAATATCTGATAAATTATTAATTATACTAATATATGTTTGTATTTGTAGATCAATTTAAGAAGTATGTAAAAAATATAATAAATGTTCTAATTCAACAATCAATTTGTTTTTTTATATATGTATTTTACATAAAGTTATTCTATTAATTTGTTCTTTTAGTAAATCTGGAGATTTTTTTTCGGATGAGAGCCCCAACATGATTTTGTGCTAGGGTCCTCCCAAAATATTAAAAACCGACCCTGCAGGAGTCGCAAAGTCCGATAAACGACTTTTGAACGAATGTTCATTGTAGGCAAAATAGGTTACAGAACAGCGATTGACCCGCAAGTGGGAACCAATGTGCTCTAGCATAGTCTGGAGACAACACTCTGTGTTGAAAAAGTGGTGACGGCCGACTATAATGGTGAACAGCTATTCTGTCCTCATTATCTCAGAACCACATAGCAGGATTCAGCATTTTACTCCAATTTTAAACATTTATTCTCTCTCTTGTTCAGGAAAACTTAATAAAAAGTTTAAAGTAACTAATATTAATACATTGAAATTGTAATTTACCTACAATACTTAAATAAAATTCAGTCTTTCATTTCTTGAAGACTTTTTTGTTAACATTTAAGCAGGGGAATGTTCTTCGTTTGCGATCCTTTAGTAATTTCTTTTATTCAACTTCTAGCAAATAATAATCGTCGCGAAAAAGAAACCTAAAAATATTAACGTAATGGCTACCAAAAGAATGTATAGTACTGCATACTCATCGGCACAATATTTACTGCCTGTGCAACTTATTCCCATTTCCAGTTTGTTAGTGTTCTTTATAATCAAATGCTACGCAATACTTTTGCATTTTCGTTTATAGAGACAATTAGAAGCAATCAACAACACACAATACACATCTAACTCCGTAAGAAAGCCTAGATAGACGTTCACTGCAGCCAACCCAACGAAAAACTATCGTCAGGGTTTTCAGCCCTCCAAGCATTGTAGTTGCGCACCCAGTAATAATGGTTGTCACTAGTGTGAACACGCGATGTCCACCTCCCTTCCCGTTTCATTTTATTTTGTTGTAATTTTACTCAATTGACTCCAAGCAACTGTCAGAGATTGGTCGCAGCAATTTTCAAAGTATTTAAATTACACTCAAGCGGACAATGTTTCCAAAAGAAATTAACATTCTCAAAATTACTGTCGTTTTAAAAAAATGCTTTTTCTGAGATAGTTTCTGGATCCGTGTCTGTTATAGATTTATCTCTTTACATATTTCTCGCACGAAAGATGAATAACCATAACGATTCAAAATAAGGTGGTCTGTCCAATTTTTTTTTTTAAATTACATAATTAAGTCGAGGAAATTAAATACGATATACTCTTATTTTATGTTATAATTAGGGGGCGGATTTTAATGAAATTTCATCTTTTTCCTTTCCACTTTAGAACAATGCCGTTTAGTATAGAAATTCATTTTATGCTACGACAAAACGAAATGACCCATTTTTATGTCTTTTTTTTTTTTTGCTGCATGTTTCGACAACTTCGACTAATAAGTCTTTTTTACTTTATTTTTAATGCATTTTCGCTGATTTCATCGATTTTAATATCATTTTAATGGTACTTCAAACAATGTTAACGAGCAGTAACAGATGTTCACCAGAGAATTCCTGAGTTACGTATTCGATTTCATTGATCAGCCGTTGTGAGTACTACGTAATCTAAGGTTCCTGCGATACCTAGCGGCGCCATTCTCAGTTCGGCCGATTTCGTGATAAATAAAGACAGATATTTTCTTTTAAAGAACAGTCGAAATCAAAAGTTTGCAGGCTGAGTTCACTTGAACAAAAGGAAGACGCCTTGATTACATCAGTAACATACCCAACATCTTATGTTCATCTGAAGGTATTTTGATAAAATTAACGTTTTTCGTAATTTTTCTTTGGTTTTGGGACATTTTTAAAGCATTTTATTGATCTTTTTCAGTAATGTTTTAGGTCATCAAAATCCACTCCCTAGTTATAAAATTATCGCAAAAAGGAATTTAAACTTAAGAATATATATAAAAACGCATATTAATTTTAAAAAAATATTAAATGATTCATAATAGCTTTCTCAGTTAACATGACAATTAAACTCGCGCGCTCTAGTGCTAATGTAACTGGATTGGTTGGTGATTCCGGGCGTGTAAACTGCTAAGGTTAATAGTCCTGTGAGTTTAGTGAATGTTTTTGCATTTCGGGGGCGAAGTTGTTTTTTGTCCATGATCTCCATTGATTTCTTTTTCAAAAACTTCAATCTCAACTATGTAAAAAAAACTTGGCGCACTTAGTATGAAAATAGTAGTTTACGTAACAGGGGAGTGAAACAGTTGATTCACGCACGAGTCGAGTTTCTCGTTCTTGCTACGCTCAGACCACAAATTCGTCTCGTGCGGGAATAACTTCGCGTATACTATTTTTTAACACGCCGTGAGCGAAACGCAATGCGTCAAGTAAGGGAATGTAAATTAAATATCAAATAACTAGAAATTCCTTACTTGTACAAAAGTAAACGTATTCCAGCCAGTGGCGTAGAACTATTGTTTGTAAATAGTAAACGAAGACGTCGTCAAGACGAAAGAAAACTGTGAATCGTTACATATGTTTTGCACACGCTTCGCAATGTGTCGCACACTGTGAAAAAACTAGGTATTTCGCGCACGGAAAACAAGCACAAGAAACCACGTTTCGCGAACGGCGTGTTAAAATAACTATTTTAGGCATATTCGGTCTTTTGAGAGGGATGCAGCTAGTCCCATCCTTTACATGCGAATATTATCTGCGCTGAAAAACCTACAGTGAAAAGAGAAAGGACCAACTTCCGTCGATGCAACAGCTCCGTCTGGGCGATTGCACTCTCTCAAACATCGCTCTGTGTTTCCTCAAGTTAATGAGTCCTGATTGGCGCGGACGACATTTGAAGTCGGCCAAGCGAAGGCGTTCCGGCCACGCCTGCAATCACGCACCAGGAAAACCACGGAAAATGTATGTAAGGGGAATGTTACATAAGAAACATTTCTTTCCCTGTGTAATTTTCTTTCTGACTCCCGTCTCTTTAGCAGATGAAATCTCCAGCAGATCAATTATATTTCAGTTTTTTAATTGCTCTGGCCAAATTTGAGTAACTAAATAGGCGTTGACAAGCCTTGTGTTTTAATTGAAGAAGTTTTGTCTTTTAATTGATTTTTTTTGCAGTAAGAAAATAATCAATCATTTTTTCTTCCTTAAAGTGTAATTTGTTATTTTGTGTTTTCCAGTACGAACATCATAT